GAATTACAGTATATGATAATAACAATAGAGGGTGCTTACAATTCATGACAATAATAATAGCATTACCATAGCAACCAATGCCATAGCAACCTCGATTTAGTTTATAATAATAATAACATATCCAGCCCTTAATACAACATGACAATTAGGACTTCAGTTTAAATATATAATAATATAACATTGTTTCAAGGTTTCAGTTATCACATATTGACACTTAACAATAAAGCTGCAACAGAATTACTAATGCTACATACAGAGTGTCAGTGACAGATATGCCTTTTTAGACATTTAACAAAATTGTCCTAATATGACAATATCGTTTGTGAAATCTGGCTATGGGTATGCCAATATTTTTTTGTGAAATCTGACAAAATTTTCCTGGCATAACAATATTTCTTTGTCTTGACAATTTTTGTCTGACATGACAAGTTTCCTATCATATGACAAGATTTCTCTGATCTGACAAGATATATCTCCCACTCTGTACCTTGCATTAAAATTCCTGTTCCACTCACACCTACATTAGGGCATTCCATCAAATGTAAGCCAAGGAGATTCAAAAAATTATTTTTCACTTCCATACATTTTTCCCTCAAGTCTCAACATAACCCTCTTCTCACCTAGTACAGAGTAAAGAGGGAAGGGGGAGAGGGAAGGGGGGGGGGGGGGTACCGGAGGCTTGATACGTCCTTAAACAACAATTCTACATAAGAAAGCTGCTCTGAATGTTGTTCATCCCCTTACTCAAGAACAGTGTATGATTGTGCCAAGTCTTAGTGCACGGTATATATACTGACCCACAATTAATATCTATTTAATTCCTACTGTCATTTACAGGGGTCCATTTTTGGTACCGTTCTTTTAATGTTCTCATTTTAATCAAACCATTAAAGACTAAATCTGTAAAAATATAGATCAACAAATATAATTTAACACACAATTTTTCTGTATTATAAACACACATAAGGAGTCTAAAAAGTAAAATTAACAAATTATTTTGGAAGAAATGTTTTTTGAATACTCTGAACTCCCTGGTGAAGAATATTGCACACTGCCTGTTATAAATATATTCAATATTGTCACATAAATATATTCAATATTGTCATATTATATATTCAATATTGTCACATAAATATATTCAATATTGTCATATTATATGTTCAATATCGTCATATAAATATATTCAATATTGTCATATTATATATTCAATATTGTCATATAAATGTATTCAATATTGTCATATTATATATTCAATATTGTCATATGAATACATTCAATATTGTCAAATAAATATATTCAATATTGTCATTTGAATATATTCAATATTGTCATTGATAACTACACATAGATATAAGCATTAAGTAATGTTCAGAAAATTACGAAATGAATTAGAAAGCTCAAATCAAAATGGATTGAGATTTCAATACCCCTAAATTGAAGATAATACAAGAAATCACGACAAAAAATAAAATATGAAAGCTCAAAATGAATCAAATATTTGTACCCCTTGTCAAGCAAGTTAAATAGTCTGTACTCCAACAAATATATTTTCACTGAATATTTTCTGATTAATCAAACCAAAATTAAATTAATTGCACTTCATATATGAAATATGGTTTTTATTATTGTGTGTCCAGAAACTATGGAAATTGCACTCTACTTATATTGTAAATTCAAAATAAAAACTTTTTTAAAAATCAAACAATTGTACCAAGAATAATTAGGGAAACTGTAATTTTCAGCGAAAAAAAATGTTTCTATTGCGCAAAATTTTCACAAAATACCAGAAAGTACCATCTCTTTGGAGACTTCAGCAGATTAGCCATTACATTTAGAATATACACAGCAAACATAATTTGGCGCCGTTTCAGCATAAAAAAAATCAGCGCTGTTCCGGCACTGAAACCTTTGGCACCGGACTAGTCAGTCCATTTGGTGCCGAAATGGCACTGAAATTTGGCACCAAAACGGCGTCGAAAATCAGATTGCATTTTGGGGGTGTAGCAGCAACATTACACTTGTCCAATACAAGGGGTGGATCAGAGTACAACATGCCCACATTTTAACTTAAAAATTAACTATTTTACTCATAATTTTTGTCAAAAGTATACTATATGTCATTTTATTTCCCATATTGACACTGTCGGACCAAGTTGATAGTTTGATGTTGTTGACACCCTCCCATCCTGCTAAAAATGTAAATTGAACGTTGATTTTAATTAAAAGTTAATTCCTTTTGTAAATCGATACACCTCGAAGAGAATTAGTATAACCTTTTTGACCATAAATAACCTAATTGACCATAATATTAATAACTTATTTCACCATTAATAACCTATATCAACTCATTTGACCATAATAACCTATTTTGCCATACTACTGTATTGACCCCGATTTTATGCCAAACACAATTAATTACATTTCTGGAGGTATGTATCCATCAATATATTGATCATGGGCCTTGGTACAATGAAACCTAACAAATACAGTAAAACCTGTCTAAGTGGAACACTTTTGGTTCCTCTCAAAAGTGTTCCACTAGGAAGATGTTCCACTTGGTCTTGGGACTCTGAAAAGTGTTCCACTTACAGAGGTGTTCCACTTGTATAGGTGTTCCACTTAACAGGTTTCACTGTTTATAAATCATTTGTAGGAAGAACCCCTCTATGAAGAATGGGTTTATACACTTGAAGACATGACATGTGCATTATTGCAAGGAAGAACAAATATATATATATTCTAATATATATCAATGCTTGATTAAACTGTCACTCTGGCCATGCTGATGAGTGAAATTCAATGAATAGTTGGAATTAGCTAAAATAATCATGAACAGGCATGGAAGAAGTAGAGATCACGCAAGAAAAATGTCCGTCTGCTCACGCTTGTTCAATCCATTTACTCGCTAAAATTTGAGTAAAATGGCAAATTTTTTAACATTTCTCTACAATTTAGGGTATCAACTAAACGTCTGTGCATTTTATTCCTTGCTAATTCCACTCTTTTTCACTCTATTTCACATTTTAAATCATGACCATCTTGACAGTTTACTCAAGGCGAGATATTTAGATTATCTTTGGTCAAAGTTTTCGCAATAAAATATAGTATTTTTACTTTACATCTATATATAATAACAGCTCAATATATGACATACAGCTCAAGCAAATAGCTTGGTGTCACACCACCAATTTTATTAGCATTCTGTCCCCAAATATAGTGGTGTCACACCCTCAAATCATTTGGCGTCACAACTTTATATGACCAAATGTTGCACCAATTATTCGGTCTCATGACATGACATCAAAATATTATTGGTGTCATACCATTGAATATGACGATGCGACATCACTAAATCATTCATCATAACAAACCAATGCTTTCAACAACTGAGATTTGGAATATTCTCAAACCAAAATCATTCTATAAAATTAATAATAATTACCAAATAATTCTTTTTACTTAATAACAATGGTTCAGTTGATGATATAGTAGTTATTTTTGGACCTCGACTCAAAAAAGGATAGGCCTTGTCTCAAGTCCCCGAATTACCCCCTCCCACCCTCTTTTCCAGTCATTATTTCTTTAAGAAAATAAGAGCTTCAACCAAACCTACATGAAGTAACAAACTTTGTATTGCATTTTTACGTAAAAACAGTAACTTTGTGTTCGTAGATATTTCAGCATTATAGCAGGGCTCAAATAAATAATATATCATCAATTTCATACCAATAGGTCATCTAACAATTTGTTCTTATCGTTATATATTTAGCATACATTTAGTCCAGTGTACTTAAGCCACATTAAAGGGGGATCTACCATACCATATAAGGAAAAAAGCAACTGTTGATGACGATCCCCCTTTATATTGACAAGGGTGAGAACTTAATAAATGCAATTAAGGGAATATAACACAACAATATCAGCTCAATAATAGCTTCCGTCGTGTAGAACATTACAGCGCCATCTATCAATAAGGACTTATCGACCCTAGAAGGTGACGAAATATATTACGTAGACATGATATCCATCTCAGTTTTCTGTTACAAATAATATATATAATAGAATTTAATTTCATGCGGAGATAGAATAGTGTCCCTTAATATAAACTGTTTAACAGTCATTAATTCGATATTTTACTTGTTCATCCACTCCTATGCTAAAAGTATCACTCCATTCATGAATATCCCCCCTTTTCCCCAAAACATCCGTCTGCTCCATGGGCTACTTTAATTGAAAGCCCATGGTCTGATCATCCTTATTTCATCAATTTCTTTCTAAAATTTGAACGAAGTGTCTGATTTTCTTGCATTTCTATATAATTTAGAGTACTGACGACATGTCTGTTTACTTTATTCCTCGCTGATTTCACTCCATTCCATTATATTTTCCATTTAAAAACATCACCCTGTGACAGGTTTGGTCTATAATCTACTCCCCTAATTCCCCTCTACTTATTCTACAAACAAACTGGAGGGAAAATTCCATGACTGGAGGGAAAAATTCCATGGCTGGGGGAAAATTCCATGGCTGGAGTGATATTTCACACTAGGAATTAAATTTTATTTTAGACATAACCAATTAAACTCTACACATCAACACCATACTTTCCAATTTCCCCATTTTATGGGACATCTGTCTGTCAAAAATAATAAAATTACTACAGAGTGCCCCAAAAGCATGACATTACATAATTTTATGTCTTACTTTTGGGACATCCTATATAGATAAATGTTATTACTGCCAAAGCATATTGCAAAAATAAATGTGTATATTTTAATAATTATTATATTAGATATGCGTACACTACAGTATACATGTACAATACATCCATGTTGACCCTTGCAAATAATCCAATATGGCATGAAGTTAAAACATTGAATTTTCAGAATATTGATACACCATTGGAAAGAATCCCTTGGAATATTTCATTTGTTTTTCTGCTCAATGATTGAAATGCCGAGCCAAAATGGATTTTTTGCAAGGGTTAATAATGCTCACTACATCTATATTTCACATGGGGTCCTCAAGACCCCTTGAACTGACAAAAATATATATGGCCACCCTATTTTGTATTATTCATATTATAAATAACATAAATATTTCTTATACCAACTAACACCCATTCTACAACATGAAAATGGAAGTATACATTTTCTCAGGTCATTTTTGGTAAAATTTGACAATGAAATGTTTGATTAATTCGATCCTTTCGATTTCCACACTCTTCCACTTTTCTGATGGGTGGTCACCTATTATCAATGCATTTTTACATTTCATTTTTTCTCTGTATGTTTTTAAAGAATTCATTTATTTAAGATTTATAGAACTTAATGGAATCTATAGAAATTCATTCATTTAAACTTTGTGAGATTTGAAGTATTTTCATTACAAAATGGGAATGGAATAGGTTCAATTATCTGAACTAAGATTTCCTTTCAAATACGTACTTTAATCATGGACTGAAGTTGAATTCTTGTATAATGTACTTCTAAATTAGATTACATCTAAACCGAAAAAATTTACAAAAAAAATTAAGTACCATATGCATGTACTGAGAATGTTATTTGAATACTTGTTGTATCAACATAGTCCATATTATAATTACATCTTCTTTGAATAGAACAGGCAGCCAGCCATCTTTGTTATGATCACATAGCTCCATCTATTATCACCATTTTTATCACCAGATGGAGCCGTTTTCAAGATGGCTGAAAATACCACCTGACTCATTCATAAAAACAGCCCCATCTAGTGAGTTATTTTAGCACCAAGATTATCCTAGGAGGGTTTAGAATAGGATATAAATTGCTTAGCCAGAAAGGCTAGTAAGATTGCCAAAAATGCGCACACGGCTAGAATAATCATCGCCCACTGCTGATCGGTCAACTGTTTTGGTTCTGAACTTTCTCCGCTTTCTGATTTCACTCCGACTGTTTTGATTGGTTCCTGGCTATGAGTGTAGAAAATGATACCTGGACTGAAAGCACCCAATAAAGATCCAGAGCCGTCCTGACAAAGACGCTCAGCGCAAACTCTGACGACGTACTCCGTATTCGGTTCTAGGTATGATAATTTATACATTGTTTCTGAACCACTGTAGATCTGGAATGAAAATTGAATTTATGAATTTTTGAATTTTATATATTTTTACAAATTACAATATGAAGTATATCATGAAGAAACTGTTGCTCAAATATCTAAATTTTAACTCACCTGTTTATATTCTTCATTTTTAGACTGCACTTGTAGGACATAATTCAAGGGGTCTTTCCCCATTTGTTTACATGGCGACCATTCCACAGAGGCCCCTTCTAGTGATATATCACTCACTTTTGGAGCTGAAATAAGAATATTCTCATCTTTTTAAAAATGAATTTTGATTAAACGATGAATCAACAGGCCCATACCAAGGGTCTACATTTCACCATGGCAACCATAATTTAAACTGTCAAACAACTGCGAGGCGAATATCAAAACCTTAGTGTAATAAAAGAAGAAATATTATAAAAAGAACATATCGATAGACGATAATATCTTTGCAATGGGGAGTTCACTGCATAATGTCAGTCATTAGTTCTAGTTTTTCATTTTTGGTAATCACCCTTGGTAATCACCATTGTACAGCACCCATCATGCTGTTGTATGTACCTGATTAGACCATTATTGGTTGCTGCATATATTGTACCAAGGATGATAATGTTATTGTTTTTCCACTCACTATAGTAGTTATGTATGCCTTTAAATGCCTTTTAAAATGGAAAATCAGTTTTCTAGCAGATCCTTTCTTGAAACTTATTTAGTATCCGAATGTCATATTGGTCTCCAAGTGTTTGTCATGATATAGCTTTTGTATCAGGCCCGTAGCAAGTTGAGAGGTTAACCCTAAAGGGCCCAACTTATTTCCGAAAAATCAGCATAAATTACTTAAAAATGCTTCTAAATACGATTTACAAAGTCAAAATTTCGATTTTATTCTTATTTTTCTGAAGATTTTTACTATGCATGCTCAAACTACAATGAACGAAAAACAACTCTGAATGTACAGTATAGGGGGGCGTGGTTCCAAGAACATAAAGTTATGAGGCAGGAGCTTCAAAGTCGTGGAAAGTCATTTTTGGTCCCTTAAGAGTTAAGTCAAAAAAAAGCTTTTACAAAATCAATACCTTTCACAGCTGGTGGAGGTGCCTTAGTGGTTGTGAACTGATAGACTTCTGAGTAGGGGCCTTCCCCGGCCTCATTGCTGGCAGAAATTCGGAAGAAATAATCCGTCGTTTCTTGCAGACGGTTCACTTTCTGCATTTGACTAGGGCCCTGGTAGACATGGTAAAAACTGCAATTTGAAAGATAGAATTTCATGAGAATTTCCGAAAATCACCCTGAGTATACAATTAGGTACAGTAACTAAGCTGTGAAGTACTGGACCAGTTCTAAACATTCAATTGTTTTAGGGATATGAATGTCTATACATTTTGTAAAATACTGAACTGACTGATGTTACCAAAATGATCAGGTCTGAATACCATGTTTATTACCATTTTGTACCATTTCAAACAAGAATTTTTGTGACACCTGTATGTATTCCTCACTAGATGGTGTTCGTATGGCAATTTTTAAATGCAATTCAAAACCTGTAGCGGAACAGGTTAGGTCCCTACCTTCCATTGTCTCTCTTCATCTCTAAAATGTATTGCAGCATGTCTGGGTTCCGTCCTTCCCCCCACTTCAGTTTGAGGCTGTTGGGTCCCGCAAGCACACACTCAAGGTGGGGCGGGGGAGGGGGTAGGGAGCGTGTTGTCACCTTGATGGGACTGCTAAATGCACCAACTCCAATACCATTCAAGGCTTGTATCCTCACCCTGTTTGTGAAAAGTTTAAATATCATGGTGAGTATTTTGGTAAATATTATATTTATATATCCATATATATTTATACGACTACCTTTGATTGTCTTTTAAAAAAGGTATTTTTGAATAACTATTCAAACATTCATTTAACATAGAAGAAGAATATTTATTGAGTACATTCACACCCCTGAGGGTCAGGTACAAGAAAGTGCAGTACACAAAAAGAATATATATGATTTAACACTAGACTACTATATACTACATATAATATATGCTTACTACTGTAAAATGTAAAATATGTATTACTACAAAAATGCTTTTTTGTATATAACATATATACGAGTTACAATATACATATATACGAGTTACAATTTACATATATATGAGTTACAAAATATATTCAGATTTCAAAAATGTCATGTAAAACAAGCTACTTGTATAGGCCACTAGGCTTTGGCCCATTGTATCATATTAATAAATAATATAATCTTAAAAATTAAAAAATAACTTACTTGTACGTCGTCTCGGGAATAAGAGAGTCGATTGTGAAATCTGTCACATTACCCACAGGAATCAAATGCCTTTCCCCAATGTCAATGTTATACGAGAGGATCTCGCTCCCGTTACACTGTGGCTCTCGCCAGGAAATTGATATGGAATCTGCGGTTGTGGTCGTGCGTATAGATGTCACTGTGCTCGGACTAGATGGCGGTGTTACACAAGTACAGGAATCACTTACGGGACCAACTCCAGTAGCATTGATTGCCTGAGAAGTAAATGTAAAATCATATTTTGAAATAGGCGTGATATCCCTTATTTTTGTGCATTGAGGCTAAATACCTCAGATACATTTGATCTACGGCAACCGTATAGCAACTACAGCTTCCCAAAATTGAGAGAAATATTCAGCATAAAATAAATGATAAGCAGCACAATAAAGATTTTCTATGTTGATTTTGTGAAGCAGCCGCTGTACAGCCGCAGTAGAGCAAATGTAACTGAGGCTTAAGTATCATACATTTATGTTTTAATATTAATGTAAAAGAAACATCCTTTAGGAATACCACTTTTAAATGTGAATATGCAAATTAATAAAATAAAAAAAATTTTCAGAATACATGTGAATTCTGTGATCTACAGTATGTCCCTTTAATTTGGTACAAAAATACCACAAATTGATGAATGGATAAGTTTAACAAAACAGACATAGTCCTTTAATTAAATAACTCTTAACATCAAAATAACTGCCATCAAAACAAGCTGATTCATCAAACATGGGGGAATATTCTTTAAATTTTGTGCCAATCTAAAATCCTTGTATATCAAAGAACTTTTTGTGTCTAAAACTACCCTTTTCAATAATTACCTGTACACGGAAGCAGTACTCTGAGGCTGGGGTGAGACTTTTTACTTCATAGGTCAAACCAGGACCATAATATAACTGCAATGAAATAAACAAATCATGAGCCATTCACAATATAACAGAGTGAAGAAAATGTAGTCTCAGAACCAAAACTCTTTTCCTTATACTCTTTTTATAATTTCTTCATGTCATTTGAAAACATTATTTTATTGTCTTTTAGTATCTTTATAATATACTGTATAAGTGGTATTTAATACGAGTGGTTAATTTTCTGAATGGTCAAATTTCATCATTTTCCTAATTTTAATTTTCCTAATGACAAGAAACCTCCCATTGAATAACATTATAAAGACAATATTTCCGACATTTAATTTTCCGAACCTGGCAAAAATTAGGAAATAGGCAAATTAAATGATTAGGCAAAATTACCACTTATACAGTATATCTGATCAAAACCAGCACAGAAAACTATTTTGAAGGGGTCTTCAAGCAATTAAAGGCCCCTGCAACAGGTATCAACTGAACTTACTTGAGTAAAGTCAGAGTCTCCCCCAGTACTCCATTCCAACCTGTAGTCTGTTATAGTAGCACCATTGTTAACAGGCTCTTCCCACCAGATCATTGCACTATGAGGCGATTTACAGTGTACTGAAGGGGTCTTCGGAGCATCAGGGACCCCTGCACCACTTATCAACTCAACTCGCTCTGACCATGGGCCGCACTGGAATAAAAAGTTCAAGAGTTAAGAGAAACATTATAAAGGGAGTGAAATTCAATTTTTTTTATTTCTTTACAATGTAGACATGCACACTTAGCACTTATGTTGACTTCTCAAAGTACCCAAAGTTGTGCTTATGTGTGCGAATTGTGATGTATTGTAAATTGTAAATGAAAATTAAAGATAATAAATATATATATAAAAAAAGCAATAAAATATAAAAAAAACAAAAAAAAACTTATGTTGTATCTCAAAAACAAGGCATTTAAATACAAAATGTGACCACCTGGCATTTGTTACAGATGCCAACAGCAAACTGCCGAACACTGTCCACAAAAAGTTGGGAGACTAATAGAATATTTCCCCACTTGTGGTGATGACATAATTATGTATCTGAAAAATGCCAAACTTACCCCAGCCTTATTGGAGGCTCTGACTTGGAATAGATATGGCCGCCCAGGTAAAAGCCCCGCAACCGTGCATTCAAGGTCAGGACCTTTATAGCATTCACGATTTGAACTGTCCGGATTGGTCATGTTGATTTCAAACACTGTCACTGGTGCTCCGCCATCATAGTCTGGATAGCCTGCAAATATTTTTTTATTTATTTTTTTATAAGAATTTATTTATTCAAACTTATAAGCAAATACATAATTCCAATCGCCCGAAGGCATTATAGGAAAAATGGACATTTAAACAATATATATTAATACATATAATAACTCATAATAGTACACTATACAACAAGTTAAGGGGATGCACTTGTAGGGTGGGGAAAGGGGAAGGTGTTTGGAGGGCCTGCAAATATAAAAAAATTATGCCTACAACATTAAATTTTCATATAGGCTAGGTTTCTAGGAGGAATTTTTTGTAGATTTCATTTTAAAGTTGAGTTTCAAGTAAGTTTGTACCTCATTCGATCTAGAGCATCAATTATAGACATTCAAGGCTGCAAGTATTTCAGACAATACCTCCTTTGGTTTAAGGAATGCACCTTGGTCAATTATCAATAATTATAAGAAAACGAGCTTTATCCTTGTTATGGTTGCCCCTCTCTCTCATATGATGAAATTTCAAAAAGTTGATTTTTCTTTCACTTGAATATTGGAAAAATCAACACTATTAGATGAAATCACCATTCCCCCTCCCAACCTTACAAAACTAACCTCATTCTACCATAACTGTTCCCCTGTTGGTAATTGGACACAATTTCTTAAAGGGTAATTTGCTTTATCAAAGAATATGGAATATGGTGCTATCTGTGTAGCTCAGTGGTAGCATGTGTACCAATTATGCAATTGGTCCCGAATTCGATCTCCAGTTCGAGCAAGACTTAATTTGACTTCAGGATGTTTGAGTGGTCTATAACTAGAACAAAAGGCTGTGGTGTGGTGTGTACTTGTATGTCTATGTATGAATGCACATAAAAGAACACAGGGCTCCTTCAAAGAGGGGTTTCTGTATCCGTCTTCCAGGATTAATTACGTAAATTACGACCGTACATGTACGGGATAAATGCAAGAAGTATTGCTCACATTCATTGGTGGCAAACAAAATGCAATACAATATTCACTCACCCCATTGTAGACAGACTGATGTGGCCTTAGGCTTCCCTCGTAGCTTTGGGGGTAGACACGGCCCTGGAGTCACTGGTGGTAAGGTCACAGCCATTGAGTCCGACCACTAAAAACACAACATGCATATTTAAATGTACAGATTGCTGTATTGTTTATCTAGCAAGTATTACATCTTTCCAGGAAGTCCTTGCCACTTTTGATGAATCAAGGGAACTCATGCAAAGTGGCTAGATTTTATGATATCATCATTTATAGCTCGCTGTTACAATGATTGTCAACAAAACTGAAATAAGTTTGTGAAAGTTAGTGAAAAGTTATCCTATTTCTGTCCAACTTTTTGAAACTATCAATTTCTAGATTAATTATTACTATAACAAGGCATTAAAGGGAATACGAAGTTTTGTCCCTTAAACTTGATAATAAGTTAGAATAAAGATATATCTTTCAATCCAATTTAGTTTTATTGTTCTATCATTATCCTTTTAATTGTTATTGAGCCCCGGGTTTTGCATATGAACTGGACCACGGAGCTCCCATTTCAACCGTAAAGTGGTTCTTTACGACATTGTTATGACGTCATTGATGCCAGATTGATGCCTTGGCACTCCAAAAGTTTTGTGGCGCCATTTTTGAATCAAAAAATGAATGCCGAGTTGTTGCCATTCCAAAACCAAAGAAATCATTTCAAATGAACTAAAAGAATACGTATATAGTATATACCACCCATAATAAAGAACGATTTCAATAGAATATTAACGCCGGCATTTTCGGAATTGCTTTTTACCTATCTAGACATGGAATGCAGGTTAGATTTATTCTTTATTTACACTTGAAACAATCTGGGATTCGTGACTTTTTAACTTTTATTAGGTCTAGCGCTAAATGCGAACAGAGAATGCTAATTCTATCAGGCGAATGCAAACTATTTGAATAAAACATAATAAAATTAATTCAACCAACCCATCTTGAATTTCCAAGAATGCAATGGTTTAATTTGCTAGTCTCATTACAAAAATATGTGTTCGTACTTTAATATTCATTGCATTTATGTTTATCTTTAACACAGGTATTCAAAGAAATTAAAATTTTAAAATTAAATTTTAAAACCGTATTCAATTACTATCATGGATTCTTAGCCTCACGTCACATTTGTACGGGGACTGTACGGTCTATCATTTCTGTGGTAAGTAGGATTTCTACGGTTGCCTAAGTATTTCTGCAGTCAGATAATTTAGCAGTCACATTTGCTAAGATAGCCGCACGGCGTATCTTGATTATGAGGAAAAACTACAATTCCCGTACGGCTGATAAATGATGACGCACGATCAGCGTAGGGTGGCCCTACGACGTGCGTAGTTTTTCTTGAAGGCATCCACAAGGGGTTCTATGGTTCACGGTGCCCATGTCAAGCTGCGCGCCTACTTAGGCGCGCAGTTTGTTTCGATCACAAACTGCGTACCTAACAACATTGCATCATTTAAGTTGGAGTCTGAATTTTGAATCGTAATTTAAAGACATTTATCCTGCATTGTTTTCTTGTTCAATGCGTTCATTCTGTGGCGAATATACGAATCTTGCAAATACTAGCAAAAACTATGTGCAAATGAATCTAAGTTTTAAAACATAAGCAGATTAATGGCATTTTCGTCACTGATTTAACGGGAGTTTATACGTAAATCGATTTAGCACTTTAAACATAAATGACAAATACTTTAGACTCGTTTTATATTTAATTCCTTACGCATTTATCATGTATAATTCAAAATATTTCGAGATAAAACAGATAATCAGGAGATTAAAAAGAAATAAAGCACAAACTGCGCGCCTATTTTAGCCAGAAATTACAACTGTGCGCATACACTATAAAAACTACATACTATCATTGGAATTTCTGCAGAGGCACGTGTAGGTGTTTTTCATATAGCTTTGGAATTTTTCCTTTATCGTCAGATTTTATGAGATTTTCATATTGAAAGTCAAAATGTATAATAGAAGTGACAATTAAGTTTGGAACGAAAAAACTTTTATTTTCAGATCACCATCTTGGTGGATGGACTCTCATAGTGTTTCAGTTATGGTGTTCTACTATTAGACACATATGTGCCTTACATATGGCGCTTACGTTTTCTAATTATACAAAACAAGCTTGGATAGGCAAGCAATTTGGAAATATTAGGCACGCAGTTTGGGAAATACATGTGAATATAGGCGCGCAGTTTTGACAAGAAAAATTTTTAAATCACGTTTATGGCGTATTATCGTTTTGAACACAAACTATCCTGCTTTAATCAGAGTGATCCTATATATTCTAGCATACCAGACACAATGGCTGAATAAACGGCAAATGACGATAAAAAGACATAGATATAACTTTACACTGTAAATTTTGAACACAGAAGTTACTTAAGACCCTTATATTGAGATAACTAGGTTTACATCGGGAACAACATTGAGTACTATGAGTAAAATAAGTTCATCTTCACAGAATGGTACTATCTTTAGAACGAGACTAACCTTGTACTTTTCGTATTTTTGGGCTCTTTTTGGGAGTCGTGTCCTCCCCGTCTTCAATTTTGAAATATGCGCGCAGTTTGTCAGAGTTAATCGACCCCATCGTCTCCCCGCATCACTGAATGTTATGAGGCTTCTCTTGTCATGATCCAAGGTGAAATTCCATTGAATTTTGAAAAGCTTTTTTGTCATATCGAATGTCGCTACGGTGATATGATGATTGAAATTGGTCGTTTAACAACTGAGAAAATTAAACATTACGTATTGTTCTTTGAAAATATGACAGTGGCATGTCCTTGTAAAGCTATTGCGCATGCCAATCTTAATATTTAGGAGATTGGCATTTACATACGTATCATTTAGACGACATTGATTTTTCTTTTTTGGTTTGCGTTTTTCATCAGAATTTAAATGGCTAAACACTTTAGGGAGTTACTGTTTCATTGGATTACTTCTTTTTGTTTTATTTCTTTCATTCTCCAATATGCACCTATTCATGCACCTATACATATTTGAATAGAATACAGATTGAAGAAATCTACCATTTATGATTAGGTAAGAAAGCAGTTGCGGCAGTATGCCTATTTGCCGACGTATACCTCAAGGTTAATAATGATGTGCCGTAAATGCTCATCAGCGCATTAATGAACATTAGCATGATTTTGATATTTTAAATGGTATGTCGTGTATTTACATAAATATGGTAAATGCAACTATTTGTTGGATGCGTTCAGCCGATGATATAACTTACTTATTTTCACCACAAATACGCCAACACATTAGCCACGTTAATCTTAGTTAAATAAATCTCCATGCATTGATGCACAGTAATGCATTTATGTGTAAATGCCATTTTGAATATTTTAATGCATTTACCTCTCATTTATTGGTTAAATATACCAGAAAGCATTTACAGGATTTGAACAGATTTATCCTTTTTGACCAAGTATTATCATTATATAAAATAATTCTAGTGGATATTTTTCAAGTGGAATATAATGCGATGACTTCCGAATCGCGCAGCCGATATCTCATAAGTTTAGTGATTTTTCTACCTAGCCTATACTATATCACATTGGAGAAAATAAATACAAACATTTGAAAAAATACATTGCAACAATTCAATTTCTATGAAGAATATATTGAAACAACTTTTCCAAATATATGATATGATATGGACATGAACATGCGGCAACAATGTTAAGCGGACAGAAATGGTTATAAAATATCAGTGAAATGTGTTATATTTCTGCGATCCGAGTATGACGTGATTATATAGCGACATTTCCCAGGCATCAATTTTAAGGCATCAATGACATCATTGATACATAACAATGGCGGCATCCGCAGCGATCCAGATATGGGTACTTTGAACTTGAATTATATGTTAGTTCAAACACGATATGTCCAATGAGTGAGCTGAAGTGATAGATGATGGTTATAAGTAGCCAGCGTGTAAATCAGAACATGAAACTTCGCATTCCCTTTAACATGCAAAATGTCACCCCCTGCCATTTGTTACAGATGTTACAGAAGCCAAATGCCGTCCACAAAAAAGTCACTTGGGGCGATGACATAATAAACCAAAATTCGAAATGACTTACATCTGATTTTCCTCCCTTACTGAAGCAGCACAATCGACAACGATACGTCTGTCCAGGTAGTAATCGATCACAATTGTAGTCTTTTTCGGGCCCCTTGTACACTTCATCAAAACCTGAAATCAAATATATTGATAAGTCTTAAGGCATCTTTCAATCGTATAGATGAGAAAAATAGAAAATGTTGTTTTTTCAGTTTTGCACATCACCAAAGTAAATGTCAAATGAGTGAACACAACACAAATGTAGAGTTCAACATGAATTTAACATTTTCCTGACATATCCCGCAATAATCTTTCTATCTGCAGTGATCTCCACAGTGGGTGCAAAATTCTCATTTTCACAATTCAGACCACAATTAGTCAAAATATGCCCATTTTTCCTGATTTTCCTCATTTTCAAGTGGATGCAAACAAGTTTTCAGGTGGATGAAAGCCTATTTTCAAAATCTCAAGTGGGTGCTGCACCCGCTTGCTTTAATACTGGGGAGATCACTGATCTGCATACTAAGTAATTTATGCATGGTTACTATTTCAACACTACAGTAAAGCCTCTTTATCCAAACACCTCTCTAATCTGAACAACTTCCAATCTGAACACTTTTCTGTCTCATTTGTCCAATCTGCAATATACACCCATGTTAAAAAATGAAATATTAAATTGTGAACACCTGCCAATCTGAACATTTTGGCTGGTTCATGTTGTGTTCAGATTGGACAGATATTACTGTATCTGCCAGGAATTTATATTTTTGCCCCCCCTCCCCGCCCATATTAGACAGGGTTAATATTTAACACCTACTGTAGTACTGGAATTAATGGAAGAACTGATGTCCATTTGTTTTCAGTTGTGGAACTTCATAATGGTGATATCAATAGTCATTCATCTCCCAACATCAATAGTCATTCATCCCTCAACATCAATAGTCATTTATCCCCCAGCATCAATAATCATTCATCCCTCAACATCAATAGTCATTCATCCCACAACATCAATAGTCATTCATTCCCAACATCAATAGTCATTCATCCCCAACATCAATAGTCATTAATCCCCAACATCAATAGTCATTCATCCCCCAACATCAATAGTCATTCATCCCCCAACACCAATAGTCATTCATCCCCCAACATCAATAGTCATTCATCCCCCAACATCATTAGTAATTCATCCCCCAACATCAAATGTCATTCATCCCCCAACATCATTAGTAATTCATCCCCCAACATCAATAGTCATTCATCCCCAACATCAATAGTCATTCATCCCCAACATCAATAGTCATTCATCCCCAACATCAATAGTCATTCATCCCCCAACATCAATAGTCATTCATCCCCCAACACCAATAGTCATTCATCCCCTAACACCAATAGTCATTCATCCCCCAGCTTCAACAATCATTCATCCCCCAACATCAATTGTCATTCATCCCTCAACATAAATAGTCTTTCATCCCCCACCCCTAATGAAACCAACTTCATTTTTCCACAACTGTTCACAATTGGGCATCAACCCTAACATGCAAAAGTGAATTACATTGAAACATGCTACTACAAGAAGAAAATGGGGTTTAAGACAATATCAATATAACAGGTTTTCTCAGACTTCATTAATAAAATTGATTTTTTCAGACTAAAACAACAAAATGGGTTTTCTCAAAGACTACAACAACAAACTAGATTTGCTCAAAGACTACAGGAATAAAATGGGGTTTACTGAAAGACTACAACAACAAATTGTTTTTTTCAAAGACTAACAAAATGGGTTTACTGAAAGACTACAACAACAAATTGTTTTTTTCAAAGACTACAAGAATAAAATGGGATTTACTGAAAGACTACAACAACAAATTGGGTTTTCTCAAAAACTACATGAATAAAATGGGGGTTTCTCAAAGACTACAACAAATTGGGTTTTCAAAGACTAATAAAATGGGTTTACTGAAAGACTACAACAACAAATTGGTTTTTTTTTTCAAAGACTACAACAACAAATTGGGTTTTCTCAAAGACTACAACAACAAATTGGGTTTTCTCAAAGACTACAACAACAAATTGGGTTTTCTCAAAGACTACAACAACAAATAGGATTTTTTCAAGGTCTAGTTAAGTATATTTACCATCTCCTTTTACAACAAATAAAAACAAAACATTTTAGCCTTTACCCAAAGTAATTAAATGAATAAAACAAATGGCATGTTGAAAATGTACTAAGGTAATGGTTATTTTGCATGGCTGAGTTTTTAATTGTATTAAAATGGTAAATGGTGGAAAAAATATGTCTATATTAGTTCAGTACTTTGATCAGATGCAATTGTTTAAAAAATAAATAAAAATAGGAATTCCAAGATCACCAATCTACTCTATATTACACATAAATTTTCTAGAGAAATTGAACACCTATACCATTCCCATAGATTGAATCTGGGAAGAAAAATACCCTGTTCAAAAAATGCCATCCTCCGTACGCAGGGGTCCAGACATCATCAGAAAAGAATGGATGATGTTTTCACCCCTGCGTTTGGAGGATGCAAAAAGCCATACATTTATTCATGAATTTTTAAGCTTATTTACAATTCAGATGAGCTGTTATGCATCGAAATGTACTCTTGGCAAAAATGGTATTTTATTCCATACATTCAATCAACCAATAACAATAAACTTGGTAATGTTTATTAGAACCAACAATTTTGTAACAATAATGGACAATTTTGTTACAACAATGGATTAAGAATATTCATGGCAAAAGGATGTTACAAGAATACACTCCTGGTTAAAACTCCACTGAAAGGTAAAGGTTCGTCTTTACATTAATATATGTTTATCTTTGAATTCTGGGTTATTTCCCCCTTTTCCCACTGAACTAGTTACATTGGTTTAGTGAATGTATTGAACTAGTTAGAGTGGTTTGTTAACTTTTCTGAACTAGTTACATTGGTTTAGTGAATGTATTGAACTAGTTTAAGGTGGTCTGTTAAATGTACTGAACTAGTTGCTTACCTCTGCCTTCATCTAGTTCCAGAATGAACTTTGTGATCTCTGATCCTCCAGAATCCCGAGGGTCATCTGAAAACAGATATGGAGCAAAACATTAATAAAACAAGGCATTAACATGCAAAATGCCACCGCATGCCATTTGTTAGAGACACCAACTGCCGAATGCTGTTTGTAAAACAAGGCATTAAAATGCTAGAGACACCAACCACCAAATGCTGTTTCAGATACCGACTGCCAAACGCTAACCGCTGAACACTGTCCACAAAAGATTGGAGATTACTACAATTTGTTACCACCAGACAAAAAAAACATAAATGTGTCAGAGCTTTAACAATGCATTATCTCAAATGCCAGAATCAATAAGTGGACACTACATTGTATTTAAGCATACAAGTAGCCCCTGTAACTGAAACCTCAACTTAATTCCTTTACTCCCCAAATAATATTATATAATAATGTTATATATGCTTTAGACCATTTTTCTATTATTTCTATGATATTTTTTTAACACAATTCTAATCACTTCTAGATTGCATACCAAGAAACATCACAAAAATGTCAAATCAATCTGTCAAGCGATTTTTGTCTGAGAATGTGCAGACAAAAAATGAGACACCATCATCCATCAAGATGATAAGAATTATCTTAGGAACATTAAAAAAAGCTTACCCCAGTTTACTCTGAAGGACGTTGGATGGACTTTACCCTTGACTTGTGGCCTTTGAGGTGCCCCAGGTCTATCTGGTAGCGTGCGATACTTCACTGCATCACTCCACTTACTTGACCCTTCCTCATTGTTCGCCGACATCTATTTCAGAAAAAAATTATTTTTCGCAATTTTATGTATATTGAAAAATACCTTTTTTTAGTTAAAACATTTTCAAAATACAGTTGATCGATTGAAATTTGTATGGCTTGATTTTGTATATACCAAGATTATTATACCAGAAATCTTTAGGAGTTTTGGGTCAGAGAAAACAAACATGTATTTCCCTTGACGTTGCATTCCCCTTAAGGTCACATTCTCATTTAAATTTTTTCTCAATTGAGGCAGTATTTCCCTGGAGATGCATTCCCCTAAAGGTCAGCTTGACCTCTAACTTACCCTGAACTTGTATTCTGTATTTCTGCGTAGATGCTCTATAAAATAAGATAAATCTGGTCCATTGTAAACACTTTGGAAGCCATACCCCTGAAATGAAACAAACATATATTTCATTTAAGGCATTCAATCAACAATATCTCTTTTCGCATCTTTCATGCCCAAATTGAACAAGGTGCTTTGTAAAAATTCCATATTTTCTTTCAACTACATAATGTTAAAAAAACGTTAAAAACAAAACAAAATGTTGAGATTTACAAGTTTTCGATGTATTCATACATCATCATTATAGGTGTTCGAAAATTTGTAAATCTCAACATTTTGTTTTCTTTCAAATATACAGCAATTTTCTAAATTCTCTAAAAATTATGTGGAGGACAATTCTCAAATGCTTACAGTAGCAGATTTATTTTTGTAGAGAGCAAACAATTGGCTTTACATTTTTTTTGTAGATGGCAACAACCATGATATCTATTCTTAAAGGCTTAATGTAGCAGAATCGTAATTTCTTAAAGGCTTACCGTTGCAGAGTCTTCCATTTGTAGGGTGAACTCTTCATCATTTGGCCTTTTAATCCAAGATATCACCAGGGCTTTAATCAACTGTTCTGACAACATAGGGGGGTCAGGCTGGGAGGGGACACTCCCACTGGTCGTATGGCAGATACAATCACTCCACTCACTAAAGAACATATTACTTATTTCATTAATACATACTGCTACTTTCACTGAATGCAATACATCCATAGACTCGAGTCAACCGTGACCCTGGTTAACTCAGACCCTAGTCAAATCAGACCCTAGTTAACTTAGACATAAGTCAACACAGCCCCTAGTTAACTCAGACCTTAGTCAACTCAGACAGCCCTAGTCAACTCAGACGACTCTAATCAACTCATGACCCTAATCAACTCAGATGACCCTAATCAACTCATGACCCTAATCAACTCATGACCCTAGTCACCCCAGAACCTAATCAACTTAGATCCTAGTCGATCACTCTAATTAAATTCCCCTAATATAATATAATGAAAACTCAGCTCTTAACTGAAACTGAAAAACTCACCTTTGTCCTATGCTATTCACTGCTGCCAAACGGAAGCAGTAATTTGTTGAAGCTGTCAATCTTGTCACCTTATATGTTTTATTTGGACCCTCATATACCTAAACAAAGTTGAGAAAATTGTGCAATTCACATTTAAATCAAATGAAAGAGGGCAGCACTATTGTAGGATCCTGGGTAATATAAATATAATGGTCTTTAATGGAAACAGACAAATCTATGCCTCCATAGGCAAATCAGAAGATTCAATTTATGGTGAAATTAGCATAACACCACAATGTTAGAGGAATTAATTATTAACATGACAAAATGTCACCACATGGCAAGTTATTGCAAGTGTTACACAAGGCACCTGCCATTTGTTACAGATGCCGAACACCAACCGCCGAACGCTGAACACCAACCACTGCCACAAAAAAGTTGGAGACTATATTAACAATATATCGCCACTTGTGGTGACCTAAAAACTGTAAAAACTGAAAAATCACCTTTTCAAAGTCTCCATTTGGATGTCCTCGATCAAACTCAAGTAAATATTTTGAGATTTTTGAACCATTATCATTGCACGTCTGAAACAAAACAAACATTATTGTAATTAATTATCTAGATAATGACAATTCTGAATTGGGAGAAATCGATTGATTTTTCTTTATAAATTCATCAACAAAAAATATCAAATTGTGATATTTCAAGGAGATCTGGGTTTGCACTCACTACTTAAAACTTGATCAAATCATGTAATCTCCTCTTTAAAACTGACATTCAAATCAATTTCAACAAAAATTCCAAAAATTAACTTCTACCTAAAAAGCCATACCAAATCAACTAAAAATTATAAATAAAAAACTACTAATAACAAAATTTTTGTGGTGCCTACCCTCCCACCGCATGCACCTCAGCGCTAATGTTCTTATTACTTACTTTCCACCTTAATACAGGAGTTTAGCCTAGCTAGATAGTTGAAAATACTCTATAAACAGCCAATAGATGTCTAGCCCATTTTCAGGAAAAGAATCTTAGGCCTAAAGCAGTTCCCCATTGAACCAACATGTAAAACATCACATTTATACTATGATTTTAACATCATAATGCTACCATTTCTGTTTCCTCATTCATTCAGAAAATCAACAGATCTTTAGGTTAGATCTTATATATCATTGGTATAAAGTTTTTTAGCCTTTTAAAACAACATAAATAATGGAAAATAAAGATGAATATTGGCTATTTTGTTTAAAATATTTGGCTTGATGTTGGTCAGCTTAAATCACCAAAATGACCTGGGGTCAATAAGTTTATATAGCCACCAGTAAGATACTGCTTGTTTTAAGTGCAGCTTGAATTACAATGTTTACTATTGTCCACATACTGATACAGGATAAAAGGTTAAGTTAACTAGATATTTAGAGATCATTCAGATATTTGATGCAGGATTTGAGAGTTTACATAGTTTTATAACTAATCCCAAATAATTTATTCGCAGACTAAGAAACTGATCTAATGTGCCAACTTACACTTATATTTGATATCATTGAAAATGTTTCTAAAGTTTTTTCTCCACACATTTTAATTAACGAATACTACAAAATGTAATTAGGCCATAAGAAGTAGATTCTTTGTTTTGCGTCCCCTTGCTTGCACGATTTTGAGTAAATCAGAAAAAACAAACACATCCAAATAGCAATCACAAAGTCTGGAAGTACCATCGCATTTCGTTCAATCAGAGTCAGACAAAATGGCGGATAATTTGATGTGCGTCAAAATGGACAGTGTTTTTGATTACTTTGGCATACATTGTGTATTTTCTTATTTTTACCCTTGAAATAGCTATATGTTTAAATATACTGTATAGAATGTATAGATACATAGAAATTGGTATGTCATGCCCTTTCATGCCCTTGAAATGTATACATTTCTCAGCAAACAAGTTTGTGTTTTTTCTTGAGTTTGTGTTTGTTTTCCTTGTATCCTTGCATGATTTGGATTTTGCGAGGACGCAAAACAAAGAATCTACTTCTTATGGCCTTATAGATGTTAGATATCTTGTACTTCCAGAAGAAATACTAAGAAGAAAGTAGATTAAATAATTCACATGTAATGTATGGCCCTGTAGTGACCCTTGACCAATTAGTCATTTTCCAGTTATATAACAGTTGGAAAAGATATATCTTTGATGTCTTTAAATAGATAACAATTTCATCATGACCTATGGCCCAAGAATTTTTTAAAATAAAAATAATTTTTTCAAAGAATCAAAGAAAAGGGTGAAAAATCTAGAGAATCCCCATACCTTCTATGTTATCATTTCCTGATTTTTTATCATATGACTGCCATCTATAAATGGAATTAGCTAAGGCTAAAAGGGCTTATTGTAGGTGAGTCTTACTCCTGTTGGCAAGATCAGGGGGCAACAATATGTTCTTATTACTTACTTTCCACCTTAATTGTAGGTGAGTCTTACTCCTGCTGGCAAGATCAGGGGGCAACAATATGTTCTTATTACTTACTTTCCACCTTAATTGTAGGTGAGTCTTACTCCTGCTGGCAAGATCAGGGGGCAACAATATGTTCTTATTACTTACTTTCCACCTTAATTGTAGGTGAGTCTTACTCCTGTTGGCAAGATCAGGGGGCAACAATATGTTCTTATTACTTACTTTCCACCTTAATTGTAGGTGAGTCTTACTCCTGTTGGCAAGATCAGGGGGCAACAATATGTTCTTATTACTTACTTTCCACCTTAATTGTAGGTGAGTCTTACTCCTGTTGGCAAGATCAGGGGGCAACAATATGTTCTTATTACTTACTTTCCACCTTAATTGTAGGTGAGTCTTACTCCTGTTGGCAAGATCAGGGGGCAACAATATGTTCTTATTACTTACTTTCCACCTTAATTGTAGGTGAGTCTTACTTCTGTTGGCAAGATCAGGGGGCAACAATATGTTCTTATTACTTACTTTCCACCTTAATTGTAGGTGAGTCTTACTCCTGTTGGCAAGATCAGGGGGCAACAATATGTTCTTATTACTTACTTTCCACCTTAATTGTAGGTGAGTCTTACTCCTGTTGGCAAGATCAGGGGGCAACAATATGTTCTTATTACTTACTTTCCACCTTAATTGTAGGTGAGTCTTACTCCTGTTGGCAAGATCAGGGGGCAACAATATGTTCTTATTACTTACTTTCCACCTTAATTGTAGGTGAGTCTTACTTCTGTTGGCAAGATCAGGGGGCAACAATATGTTCTTATTACTTACTTTCCACCTTAAATGTAGGTGAGTCTTACTCCTGTTGGCAAGATCAGGGGGCATCGGGGAGTCAGGTTCGGAACACTCCGTCTTAAAGCTGACTGGTTCACTAAGTGGTCCCGTATAATCATCATATAATGCATTCACTCTGTAAGTGTGATAAAAATGTTATTTTTATGTATAGTGGTGCATAGAAACCTGAAAGAGTGGTCAGATGTGAACATATTAACAAGAACACAAATGTGTACAAAATGTCCCCACCAATGGGTGATCCCATGAAATGGTTATCCTGAAAATGAGTAGACAAGACTTTACCAACACAATTTTAATTGATCCGTCACACAGTTAACTAGAAAACATGTAAACAAGACTTTACAGACAAGATTTTAGGATGGAAAATCCAAAATGGCTGCCTTGACATTTACCCAGAATGTCAAAAAACTAATCTGTTCCTAGATTTTCATACTAAGAATCATCCCTGAAAATATGACATTGATCTACCAAATGGTTCACCTGAAAACGCGTAGACAAGACTTTACAGACAAGATTTTAGGACAGAAAATCCAAAATGGCTGCCATGACATTTACACAGAATGCCAAAAAACTAATCAGATCTAGATTTTCATACTAAGAATCATCCCTAAAAATTTGAAATTGATCTACAGAACGGTTCACCTGGAAATGCATAGACAAGACTTTACAGACAAGATTTTAGGACAGAAAATCCAAAATGGCTGCCTTGACATTTGCCCAGAATGCCAAAAAACTAATCAGTTCTACATTTTCATACTAAGAATCATCTCTGAAAATTTTAAATTGATCTACCAAAGGGTTCACCTGAAAACGCGTAGACAAGACTTTACAGACAAGATTTTAGGACGGAAAATCCAAAATGGCTGCCTTGACATTTACCCAGAATGCCAAAAAACAAATCAGATCTAGATTTTATAATAAGAATCATCCCTGAAAATTTGAAATTGATCCACCTAACGGTTCACCTGAAAACACGTAGACAAGACTTCACAGACAAGATTTTAGGACGGAAAAATCCAAAATGGCCGACAATAAAAAAGTGATTATGTGTTTTTGCTGATTTCTTCTTACAAAATTATCACATATTACTACTGTTAATAATAACATAGGCTTTTACAACAAAGTAGATATGAAATTATTTATAAAGCTACTAAATAGTTAAAGTATGAAAACTCAAAAACACCATTCAATATGATACAAAGTATTATCGTGCGCTAACTTTTCTTAAGACATTCAAAATGGCTGACATGACTGAGCTAACAGGTCCAAAACCTAATCAGATCTAGAATGAAGTGAGCTGAACAAGATGTTAAAGTTTAAAAAGCAACTGTGAAGCCATTTTTCTTAAAGTTTGCAGACAAGGATTTTAGCATTTGACTTCAAAATGGCCGACAGGAAGTAGGTATCGAGTTAAAATTTTTTCATCCACATCTGTATGCACTCATAAGTTATCCCTGAAAATTTGAAGGTGATATCTGTAGCGGTTTTGGAGAAAACTCCTGGACGTACGGACAGACGGACGGACGTACGGACGGACAGACAGACGGACGCGCCTAGGCCGACAATATGGCCCCACACTATGTGGTGGGGACATAAAAAGACAGCTCAGTTTCAAGCTTGCCAAAGTCCTATTCTGGCTTGTATATAAGGGAAAGTATATGAACAATCATATTGATTGCAATGTTCTACCAAGAGTTTTCTCAAGCAGGAGTACCATTCTTATCTTCATGGATATATCATTTGGTCAAACTATGCAAATTTTTCATACTTTTTGAATGGGTGCAAATAATTTTTGGCCTGCAAGCCTATTTCTATTTGCTGCAAGTGCAAGTCTATATTTAAAATTTCAAGTGGACAGTGGACACCCAATTGGTTCAGAAATCAGATACTTCTAATTGATGAAAATAAAAGTGCATGCATGACAATAAAAATGTAAAAGTGTCTTGTCTCACCTTAAGAAATACTCTGTGGCAGGCTTCAGATCCTTCAGTGTGATTTCTGTGGCATCGCCACTGAAAAACGAATAAAAAATATTTATATACATATTCACTGGGGGTTTCATTTGTGTTTCATACTTACTGTAGAAAATGGGATTTTCATCTGCGAAATAAATGGTTTAATATATTTACTTTGGTTAGTGAGGTTTTATTTTTGTGTTCGTTTTTATAATTGATATGGCTTTTTACAATTATTATTGGGTTTGTCTTAGTATATATTTGCTTCAATATGCAGATTCATCTTCTTGTCTCTAGCAGTATGCTTTGCTTTTTTGTTTTTTAAATGTGAATCAAACCAAGTCCATTGGTTCAAAAGCAACGTTGTTTGAAGGGAAGACCCCTTATAATCACAATAATTTATGTTTACCTATAGACTAGTTTATATTTTCCCTCCCTCCCTTTATCCGAGAGTAGCAGCTCATATCTAAAGTCAGATGGGTCTAATGTGAATTCTGGTTCTGTGCTCTCTGGTGGGTTCAATTGTATTAAGGCACTTCGAGACTCTACATCTGATACCTAAAAATGAGACAATGATCATGTTTTTAAAATTGAAATATTTTGAAAATGAGAGGAATTGACAAGAAATAAAGTAAACGGGCATGTAGTCGACACTCTAAATTGTATGGAAATGCAAGAAAATGATGTACTTCATTCAAATTTTAGAAAGAAATTGAGTGAAATAAGCATGAGCAGACAGACATTTTAGGTACTCCAAATCTGATACCTGTTAACATTGTGACCATGTCTTCAAAGGCAAATATTGTGAAAAAAGAGAGAAATCAGCAAGGAATAAAGTACACAGGGATGTAGCTAACACTCCAAAGCGTACAAAAATGCCGGAAAATGGAATAATTCATTCAAATTTTAGATAGAAATGGAGTGAAATAAACACGAGCAGACGGATATTGTCATTACCTTTGGAAGTTCCAGCTTTGAGAGTACCTCTTGGAATTTTTCTTCTTCTGTATCGATTTCATTTCCACTGGAGGAACTGCTATGTGGGTCATGTCGACCATCACCATTTACTGAAATATAAACATAGGCGTGAACTTTGAAAAACCAAGAAGAACTAGCTATAAACACAAATGACTTATATAAATGGAGAAAACTATAGGTGATTAAAAATGAACAGTTTAATGATAAATATAAATAAAAATGGCAAATTGCAAGTAAATATCAGCAATGATGTCACAAAAACAACACAACTCTATGTTGTCAAGGCAACAAAAACATACCTCTGTGTTGTCGAGGTGACTGTGAGTTGGGAGAATGGTGGTGGTCCTGGCCGTACTTTCTGTGATGTTTTTCTTGTAATTTTCGTTTTTGTCTAGAAGTTCTGTCGTCTAAGCGTGGCGAGTGACCTGGCCCTGCAATGAGAAAATATAAAATAATGACTTATACAAATATATAAGATTATACATAATACTGTATATAAATGATATGATCTTTCTTTTTATTTCTGTTGAAAATGTGCCTAAATTTGGTCAAAATTAGCATATTTGTAAGTTTGGTCACAGTTTCATGACTTTGATCATGATTTGCATTTTGTGGCAAACTTCAAACAGTGCTGAAAAATTAGAAACCATCTCCCTGAAAACAAGCTCCCTCCCTCCTCCGATATCATCGTACAGGATAACAGGATACCTTCAACCATTTCTAATTTTTAGCAGAGTGAGTGTAAATTTCTTTAAGCGGTTTTCACAAACAATACATTGATTCAACATGGGAGAAAAAGATATGATGGTCATGTTATAAAATGGAAAACTGATTAAGAATAAATGACAATAGTGAACGAAACAAGACACACAGTGATAAATATCGCACTTTGAAGAGCAAACTGGCCACCATGCAATTTACCCAGCATGGCCAAAACCTAATCAGACCTTGGCACTAGTCTGCTCTTGCATCTGTAAACATTTCAAGTTGACAAGGTAAGCGGTTTTCCTGCAATTTTGATGACAAGAATTTATTTGTAGTCTTGAACTTTGGGAAAATTTAGATAACATTGTTTGTGACCTAATTTGATGACCTTCGACCTTGAAAATTTCACTTTTTCAGACCTCAGTAGGTGTTTTGTAATTAAGCTGACCTAAATTTAAATCCAAAATATCAATTTAGAAAATCAAATTTTTGACCTTTTCAAGGTCACTGAAGGTCAACGAAAGGTCAAATCTGAAATCAAAGGTCAGATTTGAACTTCTGAGAACTTGTAGATGTTTTTAAAAAAAAAATTTGGTCAATTTGGAGCAAGTTGAAAAATTCAAAATGGCCGCCAAATTGAAAAATTCAAAATGGCCACCATGTAATTCAGCCAGCATGCCCAAAACCTAATCAGATCTTGGCAATAGTCTGCTCTTGCATCTGTAAAAATTTCAAGTTGAACGGATAAGTGGCTTTCCTGGAATTTTGATGACAAGATTTGTTGAAAAATTCAAAATGGCCGCCACGTAGTTTACCCAGCATGCCCTAAACCTAATCAGATCTTGGCACTAGTCTGCTATTGCATGTGTAAAAACTTCAAGTTGAACAGGTTAGCGGTTTTCTTGGAATTTTGATGACAAGAATTGATTTGTAGTCTCAAACTTTGAGAAACTTGGATAACATCATTTGTGACCTAGTTTAATGACCTTGACCTTCGACCTTGAAAATTTAACTTTTTCAGACCTCAGTAGGTGTTTTGTAATTAAGCTGACCTAAATTTAAATCCAAAATATCAATTTAGAAAATCAACTTTTTTGACCTTTTCAAGGTCACTGAAGGTGAATGAAAGGTCAAATCTAAAATCTAAGGTCAGATTCGAACTTCTGAGAACTTGTAGATGTTTTTTAAAAAAAAATTTGGTCAATTTGGAGCAAGTTGAAAAATTCAAAATGGCCGCCAAATTGAAAAATTCAAAATTGCCACCATGTAATTCAGCCAGCATACCCAAAACCTAATCAGATCTTGGCAATAGTCTGCTCTTGCATCTGTAAAAATTTCAAGTTGAACGGATAAGTGGTTTTCCTGGAATTTTGATGACAAGATTTGTTGAAAAATTCAAAATGGCCGCCACGTAGTTTACCCAGCATGCCCTTAACCTAATCAGATCTTGGTACTAGTCTGCTCTTGCATCTGTAAAAA